GGGGGGGGGGGTGGAAGCAGGAGCAGGGGGGCGGAGAAGAGCTCCGGCTGGACGGAGAGCTGAGCATCGCGGACCACCTGGTGGGCCTCTGCGCCGACCGGGACCCGTCCGCGCGGAAGTTCGCGTGCTTCGCCGTCGGAAACGCGGCGTTCCACAGTGACGCCCTCTACGCCCGCCTCGCCCCGGCGGTGGCGCCGCTGGTCGCCGCCCTAGACGACCCGGAGGAGAAGACGCGGGCGAACGCCGCGGGGGCCCTGGGAAACCTTGTCCGCAACGGCGGGGCCCTCGGCGGGGACCTCGCGCGGAGGGGGGGCGTAGGGGCCCTCCTCAATCTCGCCGCGCGGGACCCGTCCCCGTCGCCGAGGAGGATAGCTCTCTTCTCCCTCGGCACGTGCTGCGCCTACGTCCCATGCCGGGAGGCGCTGGCGCTGCTGCTGGACGGGGAGCAAGAGGTGCCGCCGCCGCCGCCGCCGCCGCCTCACGGCTCGGGGGGGCGACCGGGGTGGAACATTCACGGTCGCGATCATGAAGCGATGCCGTTGCCACCGGCGGCGGCGGCGGCGGCGGCCGCGAGAGGGATGGTTTCGCCGGGGTCGGGGCTGGACCGGCGGCTGTCGGAGCTGGAACGAGCGACGACCGGGGTCGGAGATGACGTCGCTCGGAGGTACGTAGCGAGGCTGAGGACGAAGCTCTCGGCGCCGCCGCAAGCTTGACATGGGCGTAGCTGGACATTGCTGAAGCGGAGGACTTCTCTGTGTACACACCGCTGCTGCTGCGACTGTTGTCGTCGTTCGGTGCGCTCAACCACTGGTGGTGCTTGTGTGATGGTGGAAGCGCGACCGCGTTCCTCTGTTACAGGAGCTTCCGCTGATTTTGTCTCACGCATGACTTTTTTCTCCTTTTGCAAACTTGTTTTTTATCACTTGTAGCAGATGAGTTAGGCTTTCTCCTGTGGAAGGAGAAAAACCTGCCGGACGCTTTTGTTTGTGGGGGCGCAAGCCTGGTCGCACTTTCTTTTCGTCACCGGGTGCTTGCTTCGTCTTTCCTTCTTCCATGAGTTCTACCGTGCCGTCACCGTGGGGCCCTTGTGGGAAGTTAGTTGTTGAGAGGTCGGGAGGGAGATGAGCCATTGACTGTGATGTGCTCGACTCGTTTTTTTCGCGATACCTCCGCTGTGAAGGAACCGTAGGCCATCGGTGATCGGTCCTGTGGGAGCAACGCTTCATCATCCTCTCGAGAACGGGTGGTCCACGATCTAATCGCCAAGGCTGTCAGAACATGAAGATCACCGCTGTGACCCGGTGTGCCGTGACTCTTGTAGGACGAGAGTTGTTCTTTGTTTCGAGCCTCAACGCGGTTTCTCTTCACCACGAGAACGAAAAAACACGCGGCGGCCTCTGTCAAACACCATTCCAAAGAAGGGGCTCAATCAACCCCGTGCTCAAAACAGAAGATGTAATAAGAGACGCATTGCGATTGAAGACGTTTCCTTCGCAAGTGGCGAACCATCTCATGGCCGGTCACAGTAGTTCCTGCGGTACACTAGCTCTTCGCCATCGTAAAATGAGATTGAAAGACACGTCTCGAACGCGAGCGATACAAAAGAGAGCGCCCTCGCTCCTGTAGTTTTGACTCTAGTCTTGGTCATCGCTGGCCACCTTGGGTTGTTCCAGAACAACGAGCGACTCTCTTGACGCCGTGGGAAGGTGCTTCTAGACAACGAGCTCCTAAAAAATTATGAGCAGCGATCTGTCCGAAAAAAACGCGAGGAAACGGTACCGAGGGTTGTCAGCCGCGCCTATCGGGGCGTACCCTACAAGAGCCGGCCCCTTCCCACTCCCGAAAGCAAGGAGAGCGGCTCCAAGTGCAAAACATCACGGATGTAGAACCTCCCCTGGCTCTTGGAAACTATGCTCTTCCCTTGAACAATGCTCTCTCGTCACTACAGCCGACTCCACAGGATCAAGAGGTGCTGCTACCCACCATTCGTAAACCCACGGCGCTTGCCGCGTCGTGCTTTCTAGAGAGAACGTCTGCCTCATGCACAACTCTTCGTTAAGCTTCCCCCCAGCTTTGGTCGCGAAAGACCCTGCGTGGACTACTGCTTGAATTGCTAGGGGGCTGTGCACTTACACGATATTACGGAGTACGGCCATCGGCAGGTGGCGGCGGTGATAGCGGTGCTCTGGAGCAGACAAACAACGCGAACCACGGGGGCGGCGACGAGGCGGCCGGCCCGCCGCTCTCGATTTCGTCTCGCTCACCACCCATCACGCCTTCGACGGCGGTAGCCTCTCGACGGCCCGAAGAAGAACGAAGCAGGGCGCCCTGCCTCGCCCCGCTGCTTGCGGCAGCCTCGCTGCCGCCGGTCGCTCCCCCACTGCTTCCTTTCTTCGCCACAGGCGGCGTCGGAGGAGAAGGAGAGGGCGACAAGCTTTCGAGCCCAAGGAATCCCTCCGTTCCACTATTGCTCTTATTGCGATCACTGTCTTTTGCGCTATTTCTCTCGCTGCTGCTGCTGCTGCTGCTGCTGCTGCTGCTGCTGCTGCTGCTGCTGCTCGTACTGCCAATACAACTACCCCTACTCTTACTACCGTTGCCGCTACTACCGCTGGAGGCGTTCTCTTCCCCCCCGGTGGCGGGGGGTCGGGCCGAGGGCGCTTCCAACAAGGACAGGGACAAGCTCACGCCGGCCGCGGACGCGGCGGAGGTGAACACAGCCGTCATCTCCTCCGGTGTGTCGAAAACACCGTCAACGGGGTCGTACACGACCACCAGCATACCTCCGGAGGGACGGACCACAGGGGCTACGCTCTCCGCCAGTCGTGTAAAACTGGTCGGTGGGATAGAGGGACGACGAATGTAGAGGTGGCGGGGCGTCATGCGGCAGGTGGGAAAAACGGTTCCGAATGGGTGCGGGTTGGTGCTATTGCGTCGGTCGAAGGAGGGTGGTCGCCTTTGTCGGGGATACAGGAGTGTTCAAAAGAGCTTGGTTACATTATTTGGTGCAATAACGATTCACGGCATCCGCGATGTCCGTTGTCAACCAGGCAAGAACTGCCGCCATGTAGCATGGGGACCGTCTTTGTCGAATGTGAGGCGGGCAATAACAAACAAGGCCTAGCATACGCTCACCCAGAGAGCGCGCCGCTTTGCACAGGCCCGTGTATGTACCTCCGTCGCGTCATATACTACACACACAGCTCTCGCCATGGTCCTCCCTTCCTTCACAAAACGGGCATCTCTGATGTAAGTACAATATCACCATGGCCTTTTTGTCCAAGAGGAACGTTTTATGGCATGGGAAGAACCGCCATCACCGGCAATGCCACGCACGCGAAACAAGCGGCACAACACGCCAGCTGCAACAAGGCTTCGCACGACGCACACACACGCTTTTCCGTTCTTTACCTCGCTAGGATACGACTGATGCATTTTCTTTGGTCAGCCGGCTAGCGCGGCGGTCGATGCCAATCCAACAACAGCACACAAAACACATACTCACGCCTTAACAGCTCTGGCCGTGGACCGCGCCGACTTGGCCAAGAAGGACGGCGGGTCCACCACCACCAGGTCCCACGACTTCCTCTCGCCTGGCCCCGAGGCCTCCGCATCCGCCGCCGCCGCCGCCGCCGACGACGATGCCCTCGCGAAAGCGGCTACGTCGGCCTTCAAGAACGTCGCCGTGTCGTCGAGGCCGTTGGCCCGGGCGTTCTTGGTCGCGGTGCGGACTGCCCTTGCGGCCTTGTCTACCTGCAGGCGCCCAGCAGAAAAAAAAGACAGGATTCGGTCGCTAGCGACACCAGTTGCTCAACATATTTATCCCCCTCGGGCGCAACGCAGCGCTCGCACAAACACGTGACAGGTATGATTTCTGTACGTGTCACGCGCTGGTGATGCACCTACCTCCTCCCCCTCGCCAATGCCCCACCCCACCCCACCCTCCTCTGGCCAATGGTCCACCAACTACGGCATGCAAAACATGAGTACCCCCCCTTCCCTCCCCCCCCACTTCTCACCCCTATCACAGACCGCGCACCCCCGGCAGCGGCGTTGAGCGCGAAGCCCCCCGTCCCGCACATCAAGTCCAGGACGTCCAGCCCGCGTGCCAGCTTTCGCACCAGCGCCTTCACCTCCGCTCTGCCAGGAGCAAAAAAAAACGCCGCTCTCTGCTCCTCCGCCACCCCCGCCGCCGCTCCCGCCGCTACCGCCGCTTCCCGCCGCTGCCGCCGCGAGGCGTTCCTAGTCGCAGCGGCGTACGTTAGGCCCAGCTCCGCTAGAGAGGTAGTGCTCAGGCTGGATGCCGGGGGGTCGTCGGCGTCGCCGCCCAGCCGTCTTCCTGGCCGCGGTCGCGGCGGAGACGCTGCGGAGAAGGCCGTCGCCGGGGAAGAAGAACCATCGGCGTCCAAGACGATCCTCTCCAACCAGGCCGAGAACCTGTCCTCCGGGTAGTTGCAGAGGGCGCGGAGGTGGCGGAAGGCCGGCGGGGCCCCCGCCGCCCGCATCGCCTGTTGTTCGGCCGGAAGCGGGGGTAGGAAGTTGGCGGGCAGGGAAGAGGCAGTAGCCTTAACGGGGACACTTCAGAAGCTTGTTTTTTTGCAGGGGGTACGGTTTCGGGTTGGGGGTCAGGGTTAGGTAGCGAAACGACCCTCTCTAATTCACAAACAATACCGCTTCGTATCCTTGCGAGGGCGGTCCGGATGACTAGCTTTTTTGTTCATTGGCGGGGGGGGAGTCGTGTGCTTCAAGAACGTCCGCGAGCGATGGGGAGGAGGAACACCCTCAAGGCTAAAAGCAAGAAACAAATTACCGTATAGTCTCGATGGTTTGAGGAAACCAAGGGTTCGCGCGTGAAGGATAGGATTTTAGATGCCGAACCCGATAATCGGATGAGCAGAACGTTTTCGAGAGTGCGCCGTTAGTCGAAACTGCTTGGGGTCAATACTCGATCGGCGAGAGCAAAGGTGGAGGCGCTGCTTTTACCGGGTGCGCAGCCGCTACACCGTGGGTGACACAAGATACCACACCCCTTGGGGCAGATTTTGCAACGATTTATTACAGTGGCGGCAACGATTCAAGAGAGGGTGGTGACAAGCCAGTATTTCTCTCCAAAATCCGTTTTTCTCTTGAACCGCACTGTGAGATGTACGTATTTCCCATGGTCATGACAAGCCAGCTTGACTTATACCTTCAGTTGGTATTTTCTTTTAAGTAGTCTCGCTTAAACCGTAGCCGCCACTGTATTGTATTCCGCAGCAGTAGAAACGGCAGTGGCGGTGCGGAAAAAGAGCAGAGCGTTGGAATCGTCTCGTTCGATACCTTTCCGACAGCGCATGTATTCATCTGATTTTGGCATCCTCTTGGTTGTGGAAGTATTCGAGCTTTGAAAACCGGTCCAGGCCTGGGTGTGGTATCTTCCGTCATTTCACCCGCCAACCTGCATTCTCGGCAGTATCCGACCCTCCACGCTGGCGTTCATGACCCGAGGGCACTGGTTGAGGAGGTTGGAAATGTCCCGCTCGTTCGCGCCGAGCTCGTCACTGAAGAAGGCCGCCTTAGGCCGGAGGTTGCCGGTAACACTCAGGGTCATGAGCGACGGCTGGTTGACGATTGTCTGGAGATGCAACAGGGTGGAGGGGGGGGGGGGGGGGGG